TCAGACCCCAGGAGACTTGCGTCGGCTGCTGTGTCACTGGCTTCCTCTTCGGGATTCTGTGCCGTGGCGCCTGCTCGAGCTCTCACTCGATGTGTTCACAGATGCCTTGTCTTTCGGTTGAAGGTTTTTGACCAGTGCTCACAGTCCGGCCAGGGTCGGTGGGGTCTGCCCTTCTGTCGGGCTCATATGGCTTGGGAGTTTGCGGCGGTGTGGCTTTCGCTTCAGAGGGTAAGTCGCTTGTGGATCGACGATCCAGCTCCATTTGGACTGCTCCCCCTGTAGTTTATTGTTGAACTGCGGGGATTCGATGCGGCCTTTGGCTCTTTGGGGCTCGTCACTTTGGGTGACTCGTCTGCTGAATTCTCGGGGTTTGGCTCTCCTGGAGGTTCATGTTCACTGAGTGTCCAACCCACTGGTGGTCGGCCTGTCCCGTTTCTTTCCTCTGTCCATGGAATGGACGGTTGACGCCGACTCGTTCCATTGGTTCTGCCAAATGTTCAGGTGCCCGGACGTGGACCTCTTCTCATCAGCATGGTCGAGGTGTTCTTCCGGTATATGCGGCGCCGGCTTCAACATAAACAGCAAAGCCGTCGGGGTTGAAGCCTTTTGACTGGAGTGGTCGAGGTGAACTTTCCTGTACCTCTTTCCCCTGGTTCATCTGTTGCTCAAAGTCCTAGCTCACTTGAAGACTTACCAGGGGAGGATAGTCTTGTTGGCCCCTTGGTGGCCGGCCCAGCCCTGGTTTCAGGCGCTGCTTGCTCATTGTCCGAATCTGAGGGCTTTCCCGTGGCTCCGCCTCTTTCAGCAGATTGGTCCAGTTCGGTATGTGGCTGGTTTAATCTTCTCCAGTCTTTGCGTCTGGTCTTTCTGACGTTGGTTTATCACCACTTGTATGGTGAACAGGTGGCTTTGTTGATGGTGTCCCACTTGCGAATTTTGTTTCGGCAGCAGTATGAAGTTTCCTGGCGGTCCTTCGAGCACTTTGTCTCTTCGTAGGTTGTCTTCTATTTCTGATCGGGCTGTTTTGTCCTCTCTCTTGGTTGTTTTAGGACATCTTATGCCAAATACTGTCACTTCATATCGTGTGGCGCTGATGGACCACTTCTGCTTGTGATCGGGGTTGTTGTCACTTCTGCTCGGTCCCGCTAGCGTTCTTGTGCGTTGTTTCACCTCCGGCCTGCTCATGCGCCACCTGAGCTGTCCTGATCTTTAGACAGGGTGCTCTCTTTTCTCTCTCCTCCTCGGTTTGTGGTGGCCCCCCTCGGTTCAGGACTGTTTTTCTAAGTCTCTTTTTCTTGTTGGCATTGGCTTCTGGGAGTCGGGTTGGGGAGCTTCATGCTCTCCTCCGGCGCAGGAGTTTCTACTCTTTCGATCCTGGTGGTCAGTTTGTTTGTTTGCAGCCATCTCCTTCTTTTCTGGTGAAGAATGAGACAGCTGCTTTCCAGAGGAGTTCTTGGATGGTTGATGCTTGGTTTGTTCGTCCGGGGGTGCATCATGTTTTGTCTGGTTACGTCTCTTTGCCATTATCTGCGCACCACGTCCTCGGTGGCAGGGGATGCGCTTTGGGTTGACCCGATTTCCCTTCTTCCCTGTTCCAGGGCGTGGATCTCTCGGGTTGTCCGCAGGATTCTTCGGTCCAGCCAGCCTGTGGTCTATCCTCATGCTCAAGGCGTTCGTAAGTTCGTGGCTTTGGCTACTGTTTTTGATAATACGTCTTGGGCTGACATTCAGGCATGGGGCTTTTGGAGGTCGAACAGGGTCCTGGCCGCACGGTACCGCGTTCATGTTCCTGGCCCTTCTTGAGCGTGTGTAGTCTTGGACTGCAGGAAGCAGCCAGTTGTTTCGACTTAGAATTGAGGAGCGAGTGGCGACTACCTCCTGGATAAGTCCCCCTTTTCCTTCATCTTTGGTAAGCTAGCTCCGGGGAGCCGAAGGGGGTTTCCACAGAAAACTAGCTTTGAGTGTAATGTAATGCCATTTTCTGGGTGAGACCCGGAGGTTCTCCTGCATTCCTCCCTTCCTCTGGTCGGCGTTTTTTTTTTTTTTTTTTTTTGCATTTTTGATATTCTGCGGGAGGTCTGGGGGCCCCCCTCCTCTTCTCCCTCCCGGGGATTGGGTAGTTGTGCAGATAGTGGCGTGACAGCTGTGGTGACGTCATGCTTGTTTGCTTGTTTTCGATTGGGGAGTTCTGTTTGCTAGTTCGGTTTTTGGTTTGCAATTTTTAACCAGCTGTAGTTTGTTTTGGAATTCCTACCTTTTTGAGTGCCTGACCTGGTAGATGGCACACATAGACTGCTTCCCATTATATGGGAATGTTTATAGACCATTGCTCCTCGTGCCTCATCTGAGAGGGCCAGGTTCTGGTGCTGGTAGGCCTAGAACTCCATTGATTGACTGTTGCCACAGTCTAATATATACACATCAGCCCAGTATAACTCCGTGGAGCCTCCAGGTCTCACCCAGAAAATGGCGTTTCATTACATTCAACGCTGTGTTTTTCACTGTTCGATAATTTGACAGCACCTCAGTGAGTTGGGTTGAAGCTTAACACACACATTGCCAAATGCAATTCTTTATATTTAATATTGGATTGTGAAGCTGCTGGCAGACCTAAATAATGTAAAACAAGTCTAGGCACCTAGACAAGGCTAGTAGTGTCTTGCACAGATCACCCAAAACCTGCTGCCAAATAACAGTTGCCACTTGCAGCAAGAAGGGCATTAAGCTTGAATATTTCATATAAATCTCTAAAATTGGATATGTAATTATTAGCCTAAATTTATGAACGTGAGATTAAAGCTCTTACTGCAAATATGAAATATATGTGTAAGTGAATAAAGAATGTGAAGGATTATCAACAAAGTGGTTGTATCAAACTAGTAAGAAATGATAGAATTAAAATAGGACAAAAATTAATTACGTGGTGATAGTAACAAGGTAAGCAAAGTTAAATCCCAAAAAGTCTTATCTATCTATATGAAGTCAAGGTTAATGGGAGAACTGAACCATTGAATATAGTCTGGTCATCTAACACGAAGAAATCGCTCATATATGATACTGATTTTTATCTTGGCTTTTACGAGGGAGGCACACTTGGCCAAAAATTTAATCGATTAATAGTGAGAGTGAAGACAAAGTAAACTAATAATTATTATTTTCTTGGATCAACTTCAAAATGTAATCCCAATTTTTAAAAAGGGTGCTACAGTATGTTGCAGTAGATCACTTCTCTCCCAATTGTTGTCCAATTAATTTAATGTCAGATGTGAGAAAACAAATTGTTGATTGTAAATTTCTTTCTCATTCATCTTAAGAAAGCAAGATTAATAAGGGACTTGTAACATACACTAGAAAGTGACTTGTAACATGTTTGGCCAAATTTTTTTGTTTGGTATTTTCCCAAACATTTGAAGGATTTTCAATTAAAGTGGTAAAGATTACAATAATCCTGTACATTAGTATATCTTTTCATTTCCTTGTACACAAGAGATCCATAAGAAAGGTAAAATTATTTGATATTGGCACAGACTTCTTTAAGCTGGATCAGAATATGGTTGTCGTACAGGAAACGTGACGTTGGCATAAATCTAGTATAGCTAGAGTGGAAAACGGTTACAAAGAGTATGTCCCAGAGCTCTGACCAGGACCCATATGTTGACAGCTACACAAATGAGTTAGATACAAGAGTGAATAGCAATATTAGCATATTTGCAGATGACACCAAAATTAACAGGCAATACGTTCAGTTGTAAAAGTAGAAACATTACAGAATATAAACAGACTTTGCAAAATTGATGGGAAATTAGCCATTGCAACTTCGTGTTAATAGGGTGGGGGGGGGGTGAAGCAGGGATAAAACAAAGAATGTACATAAGTGCTCCAAATAAAGCCATACTTGTGAGGGAGGAAATGTATATTTTTACCTCTCAGAATGTTTGGTAATGTGTTTATTTGTGATGTGTGTCTATGTGTATATTAACACGTTGTACTGAATGGGGTGAGAATAGCTTGAGCTACCTCATCCCTTTGTGTGTATTTTACCTCAATAAACTTATTTCAATTTCAATTTCAATTTCAAATAAAGCCAGTAGGGTACAGTTCTATGACTAATGTCTAAAAGTGTTAGTAATGAAAGCCCTAATGTTATCTATCAATCTTGTCCTTGAGAAATTCCACTTGGATTATGCTCCAAATAATCTATCTCTAATTAGATTTTGTTACTAACTATATATGCAAATTCTGTTGAGTATACAGAAAAAGATGACTAAGTTAATGTGCAGTAAGAACCTCTCCTTTTGAGGAGAGGAAAAAATGGATTTTCATACTGTAGAAAGGCATTATAGTAGGGGGCATGATTGCTGTGTACAGGTGGATGATAGGGTTCAATAGGAGATATAAATTGGTTTGTAAAAAATATCAGCCCAAGTTCGAACATGAAAATGGATTCAAATAGGAGAAATTTTGATTTGGAAGAGTAATTCTTCAAATTTCTTAAGGCAAACTATAGTAATGTCTGGAACAAGTTACCAATTACTGTAACATTATAAAAGTAAATTCACTGTAAAATTTCATGAATAGGTTGGGTGAGTACATGTGTTAGGAGGTTATCTTGAGATGATTTCGGGGCTTTAGTGTCCCCGCGGCCTGGTCCTCGACCAGGCCTCCACCCCCCCAGGAAGCAGCCCGTGACAGCTGACTAACACCCAGGTACCTATTTTACTGCTAGGTAACAGGGGCATAGGGTGAAAGAAACTCTGCCCATTGTTTCTCGCTGGCGCCCGGGATCGAACCCGGGACCACAGGATCACAAGTCCAGCGTGCTGTCCGCTCAGCCGACCGGTTCCCAGAGTGGTAGGAAATTAATATAAACTGCTTTGCAGGAGCCAGTTGATCTTCTTTGGAATCCATTTTATTGTTTTCAACTTATGTTCATAATTTTTAGATTAAATCAGTTTGTCTGGTTGTTGTGTTACTTCTAATTTACAACAATTATTTCTTAGGTCGAGAAAATTTTGGCCGAGAACCAGAAGAAATTGCAAGAGGAGCGACAACAGCTGGACGAAAATCAAGTATTAACAAAATTGAATACAATATCTGTTAGTTCAGTTAATAAAGTAGAGAGTGAGGATGATGAAGACTTGGAAGAAAATTCTGTTGAAGATGCACAAGAAAGTTTAAAGACTGAATGTGAAGATGAGAAAAATGAGACTTGTACAACACAGAGCAAAGGAAAAACCGAGAAGCCAGATGAAGAACGCACTTCAGCCCCGAGAGGAAAAGGCAGAGGACGAAACCGAGTGAGATGCAGAGGGAAGATAGAGAGAGAGAAAGAAAGTACACAGGAAGTGAAAGGTAAACAAAAGGGAAAAAAGGATATAGAAGATCCAGAAGTCATGGCGCCTGAAAAAGACACTACTGGAGGAAGGGGTCGAGGGACACCAAAGGAAGACGTTGCCACTGTGAGAGGAAGGGGAAGAGGAAGAGGAAGAGGTCGAATAGTCAGTTTTAAGGAGAATAATGCAGAAGTGGTAAAGACTGTGGAATTGGAAAATGACAAGAATAAGTCCATTTATGAAGCATCATCAGGTAGGACCTTGTGTTTGGCAATGTATTAACATTATTATTAACTTTCAGAGAGTCCTTCTTTTTGTTATGAGAGTATAAACGACTGCCCATCAAACTATCCCCATTTTGTCTAATTGGCAAAATAAAGTATTGACAGTAATGCAGCCAAAAATTAAAACTAACCTAACCCAGTCGTAACCTAACCTAATACTGAATGTATAAAGTACTGTATATGTTAACTAAAGGCTAGATCAGTTTATTTGGCCTAGGTTAGGTTATTTTTGTAACTTTTTATCTGCACCTCTTTCTTTTTACTTTGTTTTGTCAACAAGACAAATTGTGAACTGTTTGATGGTCAAAAGTCTGTATTTAAACTCAACTGTTATACTTCAGTATTGTCTTAATTAATAGGATAAGTAGTTTTTCCCTTCAGGCAGCATGTCTCAAGTTCTGGGTTGGTGAACCTATGGCACGTGTGTGCCCAGAGTGGTGTACAAGCAAGTTTTGCTGGCATGAAGCAAGCAATTGCCTCATGCTCCTTGATTTGATATTTGATTGAGACACTCTTGATTCTTTGATACAATATTCAGTATGGTATCAATTTGTTCACAGTAGAATTCCCTACAGGGGTATATGCATATAAACTCCAAAATACTGTACAACCCCCTGTCCCTGCAGCAAAGGTGAAAGTCAGCCAAGCGTTAGCTGTGAGTGAGCGCGCATTTGTACACCTGCATACAAATGTGTATAATCATTTTAGTTTGATAACGTCAATTTTCTTGTTAGACTGTTCATTTTGGTATCAATTTATTTGCAATAGAATGCTCTACAGGGAAAAAATGGCTGTACTTACCACCCAGTGATGTTTGTAGACCATGAGTTGTAAATTAGGCTGAACCACTCCACCTGCTCCAGGAAACTGTTTCCTGAAGTTGCTCAACCGATGTTTTTATAGGTAGAGTGGATGGTGGGTAAGCATTACTGCTCATCCACCCAGTATGTCCTCTTGTGATGGTACAAGCCGGGGCATGCAGCTCACAATGCCACATCACACGACTTGCACTTGTATTTGGTGTCCTTCCTTTTACCATTTCTGAAGAAAATACGACCCTTCAGCTCTTTCTGGATGCGAAATAAGGAATGGTTCAATTTGCTGATCAGACGTTCTGGTTTATTAACAATACAAGGGTTTCTCATAGCAGTGGCACCAGAAGGAATAATCTGACTCTCGTCTTCTGAGTCAGATGATGAATTGTCACGTGGAGGTGAAGATGGGAATAGTGGCCACCTCACACCTGATGACACACACAGAGACACTGCCTTAATCCCTTTTACCCTGTCGTAACTCAGTCGATTAAGGCAGTATCTGGGATGCTCCCGGACGCAGGTTCGAATCCTCGTCACGGCCCTTGTGGATTTGTTCATTTGATGCATCACGTTAGTGTGATCTCTGTGTGATGATGTAAGGGCAAAGAGGGAGAAAGGCCTATTGACATAGCTCGGGTGCAGGGGGGGGGGTTGTGTAAAAGCCTGGTTTGTGCCTCGGAGAGGCTACGGGATCCAGTAAGTTCAGTAGAACTTCGGTTTCAACCCCTTTTACCCTGTCGTAGCTCAGTCGATTAAGGCAGTGTCTGGGATGCTCCCGGATGCAGGTTCGAATCCTCGTCACGGCCCTTGTGGATTTGTTCATTTGATGCATCACGTTATTGTGATTTCTGAAAGTTATTCTTACCTAACTCCATGTTAGCATTAACCTTTAGGGTTAATATGATGTCTGCACTATTGGAGTCTATTTTCCTGCCAATTTCTTCAAATTCACCACTCTTCACTTTCCATGCCTCGTTATCTTTGACTAGTTCCTTAACACTTTTGCGCTCCGATCTCGCTTTCCAGCGTCATCCGTTTTTCTCCTGGGCCGTCTCGGATGACGCGGTTCGTAGTCATCCATTAAAATATGTTAAAAATTTAAATTTTAACTGATCAATCTGGGACTGGTTTCAAAATGAGCGTCTTTAGATTGAGCACAATTTGATACCAAAATGAAAGACGTAACACAAAAATTTATGTCAGAACACTGGAAAGATATAAATAATTTTGTGGTGATGAGCTTCAATAAGTGTCCAAAAGTTAAAATATTTGTGAAAATTCAATTTATTTTTCTATTATTATGTGACAAGTTTTAAAATACGTGCCTTTTTATTGCGAACAATTTGGTACAAAAATGAAGGACGTAGCACGAAAATTTGTTATCAAACTGAACACGTATATACATCAGTCTGCAGGCGTGCCAATTGATGCTCCTTCATGGGTAACTTGGCCGACTTTAGGCTTTGCTGTGGGGAGTCACTCCGGGCATTTAGACCATATATGCATATACCCCTGTAGAGAATTCTATTGTGAACACAATGATACCAAAACGAACGACGTAGCACGAGAATTAAGGGAGAAAACTGAAACGAGTATACACTTTTTGGTGTCGCCGCATGCTTGCCCGCACTGCCGGGAGCATGACGTCAAAGTCTGCGGTGCTCCCATGCCATGCGCGAAAGTGTTAATTAATGTGTGCCTCCTGTATCCTTACCTAAACAGTCAAGCTGGTCATTTCCTTTCCTTGCTGGAAAATACTTCCTTTTAAATTACAAAACTCATTCTTGAGACTTTCATTTTCTTGCTCTAATTTAAGGACTTTTCTTTATAAATCTTTAGTAAGTCCTTAATAATAACAACAACCTGCCAAGAAAACCACCTTTCGTTATTTCTTGTGCTGAGAAACCTTAGAAACATTCATGTGTTGGTGTGTTGTCCTTCCCTGTGGTGGTGGCCATCTTGGTAGTTGACATGCTTTTGTTTTGAAATATCAATTTTCCTATCCAGATTTTTCACTCTTTCTTTATTTCTTTTATCCTAATTATATTTCAAATACCATATGCCTTCATATGACATGAGGCATCACTCACGGTCCTCACTTTGTTTTACAATACTGTACTTGAGTAATTGGACTTTCCTGGAGCCTGCTGCAGTATCTCTCCTGCCTCCTGGTGTGTGTGGAATTACCTGAATGTAGTTACAGGATGAGAGCTACGCTCGTGGTGTCCTGTCTTCCCAACACTCTTTGTCATATAACTCTTTGAAACTACTGACAACGTGTGTGTGTGGGAGGGGGTGGGGGGCTGGATGGATGGACCTTTATGTGTATTAACAAAAAGAATAAAGACAGATGGATGAAGAAAGCAGAAAATGGCCAAACAAATAACTAGTTGCAAGAGTGTGTGGGAGGGAGGGAGGAAAGGGTCTAGGTTTGCCTCATTTATGGACATCAAGAAATGGGAAAGATAGAAAATCCCTAACGTGAGGAATGACGCATGAACAGTATAGATAACAGTAAGCTTAATGAGCAGAGGCCACAAGGTAGCAAAGACGTGCAGGCCACAAGGTAGCAAATACTTGCAGGCCACAAGGTAGCAAAGATGTGCAGGCCACAAGGTAGCAAAGACGTGCAGGCCACAAGGTAGCAAATACTTGCAGGCCACAAGGTAGCAAATACTTGCAGGCCACAAGGTAGCAAAGATGTGCAGGCCACAAGGTAGCAAAGATGTGCAGGCCACAAGGTAGCAAAGACATGCAGGCCACAAGGTAGCAAATACTTGCAGGCCACAAGGTAGCAAAGATGTGCAGGCCACAAGGTAGCAAAGATGTGCAGGCCACAAGGTAGCAAAGATGTGCAGGCCACAAGGTAGCAAAGATGTGCAGGCCACAAGGTAGCAAAGACGTGCAGGCCACAAGGTAGCAAATACTTGCAGGCCACAAGGTAGCAAAGATGTGCAGGCCACAAGGTAGCAAAGATGTGCAGGCCACAAGGTAGCAAAGACGTGCAGGCCACAAGGTAGCAAAGACGTGCGGGCCACAAGGTAGCAAAGACGTGCGGGCCACAAGGTAGCAAAGACGTGCGGGCCACAAGGTAGCAAAGACGTGCGGGCCACAAGGTAGCAAAGACGTGCGGGCCACAAGGTAGCAAAGACGTGCGGGCCACAAGGTAGCAAAGACGTGCGGGCCACAAGGTAGCAAAGACGTGCGGGCCACAAGGTAGCAAAGACGTGCGGGCCACAAGGTAGCAAAGACGTGCGGGCCACTGGGTAGCAAAGACGTGCGGGCCACTGGGTAGCAAAGACGTGCGGGCCACAGGGTAGCAAAGACGTGCGGGCCACAGGGTAGCAAAGACGTGCGGGCCACAGGGTGGCAAAGACGTGCGGGCCACAGGGTGGCAAAGACGTGCGGGCCACAGGGTGGCAAAGACGTGCGGGCCACAGGGTGGCAAAGACGTGCGGGCCACAGGGTGGCAAAGACGTGCGGGCCACAGGGTGGCAAAGACGTGCGGGCCACTGGGTGGCAAAGACGTGCGGGCCACTGGGTAGCAAAGACGTGCGGGCCACTGGGTAGCAAAGACGTGCGGGCCACTGGGTAGCAAAGACGTGCGGGCCACTGGGTGGCAAAGACGTGCGGGCCACAAGGTAGCAAAGACGTGCGGGCCACAAGGTAGCAAAGATGTGCAGGCCACTGGGTAGCAAAGACGTGCGGGACGTGCGGGCCACTGGGTGGCAAAGACATTTTATTTTGTTGACAATTACACGTTGGGTTCTATTAGTCAGGAAATTGTAGATTCATCAGCCTATTTTTCCAGTAATTCCTTTTGAACGCATTTTATGTGCCATAACATCATAGTCACATTTGTCGAAGGCTTTTGCGAAATAAGTGTAAATTACATCAGCGTTTTGTTTGTCTTCCATGGCATCTAGTGTCATGTCATAGTAGTCCAGCAACTTTGATAGGCAAGAGCGCCCTGTTCTGAAACCATGTTGTCTGGGGTTATGGAGATGCTGTGATTCCATGTATTTTGTGATCTTACTTCTTAGCACGCACTCGAAGATTTTTATGATGTGTTATGTTAGTGCTATTCGGTCTGTAATTTTTTGCCTCTGCCTTAGTTCCTCCTTTATGGAGTGGTGCTATCTCTGCTGTATATCGGGGATAATGCCGGTATCTAGGCATTGTCTCCAAAGAATGTGAAGGGCCTGCGATAGTGTTTTTTTTACAGTTCTTGATAATTATAGAGTTCCAAGAATCGGGGCCTGGTGCAGAGTGCATAAGCATACTGTCTATGGCTTCTTCAAAATCCAGTGGGAATAGGGTGACATGTGATATATGATTTGATGTTGGTATCATATCCATGAAAAATTCATTTGGGTTATCAATCTTTAGTGGGTTTAATGGCTTGCTGAAAACAGAGTCGTACTGCTTCCTCAGTAACTGCTCATTTCTTTGTTGTCATCGGTGAAAGTTCCATCTCCCTTTCGCAGGGGCCCGATACTAGATGTGGTTTTTGATCTTGATTTTGCATAGGAGAAAAAATATTTTGGATTTCTCTCTCTTTCACTGATGGCCTTTTGCTCTCTTTGCCTCTCCTGGGTTTTGTATGATTCTTGTAGCTTTAGTTCATTTGTTTCTTTCTCTACCTAACCTTCTTCACCGTTGTTGAGATAGGGTGTGACTCAAGTTGTTCCAGGATTCGTTTTCTTCGTCTATAGAGGGAACGACATTCCCGTCCCAATCTGCATCTATCCCGTTCATTTAAGCTACTCCCTGGAATTCTCTGATACAACTGTATTAGCTGGGGTCTTCCATTTCAGGTGCCGTAGGTTGAAGTCCCCAAGCAGGATGATGATTGGGGCTGGATTTGTGAGGTTATTTAAGCAGTGTTCTATTTTCATTAGTTGGTCTTTAAACTGCTGATGATTTGCCTCCGGTGACTTATATACAAGGACAATAACTACATTTAAAATCTCTATTTTGATTATCAGCACTTCCACCATATCATTTGTGGTGTTTAGCAGCTCAGTACAGATGAGTTTGTCCTTGATGTACAGGCTGACGCCACCCTGTTTCCTGTCACATCTGAAAGGATTGTACTCCGAAATCTATATTTCACCATCATGGTAGGCCTTGGTGTGAGAGTGTCCGTTAGGGCTAAAAACACTGCATTTGCCTCATGTAGGAGGCCATCTATGAAGTGCACTTGTTAAATTTGCCTGTTTTTATACCCCTGAATGTTGGCAAATAAAAATTATACTATGCTAGTGGATATGCTGGATGCTTTACTTGGTGTTAATATCTGAGGCTCCGTTATGGAGGCCACTGTGTTTGCATCCTCTCTAGCATTTGACCGAGTTGGTGGTAGAGTCTGGACATTTTTAGCCATTCTTCTCCTTATCTTGCTAAAAAATCATCCTGGTAAATAGTGTTGTGGTGCTTTCCTTGAGGCAGTTTGTTGGTCTTATTCACCTGGTACCTTTTACATGAAAAGCTGGACATTCTATATTGAAACATTCATTCTTATGAATCCATAAGAGTATTTATCATTAAAAGTATTCCATTATGGGTAAATGAATCCATCTAGTCTACTAAAATCTGATTATTTTGCATGGGCTACTTTTACATGTAGAATGATGTATAATTTATATAAATATGAAATGTACTTTGCAATTTAATGTTCATTGAAATGGCAGCGTTTAGCAATATTTACTTAATGTGAATCAATAAGTTGAGAATATCAGGAAGCTGCTTGTATGTAATAAGAGTACAAAGAGTCCTGCATGATTGTATAATCCTTGGCTCATTGCCCACTGCACTCTTATTTTATTTATTTAAACAATATGAAATATATGTTGTAATGCAATTTTTATTTTACAGGTTTGAAGATGAAAGAATTAAAAGTTACTGTTAAGAAGATGGATATAGAGCAGACAGTGGACAGAAAGGGGTCGCCAACTGATGAAAACGATTCAAAATTAACTGAGGAGGAGTGCATAAAGATGACCTTGGCGGGTGAAATCGAGGCTGACGAGTCAGGTGTAACACCAGTGATTCAGGAGCCTGAATTGCCAATAGATACCTCCAAGAAGAAAATGAAGAAACCACCAGTAACCCCTAAAGTAATACCTCAGTTTGAGCCAGCTTTATTCTCGACGCCAGATGTTATGCTTAAAGTAGGCGATGTCAACTCGCCCCAAGCTATAGCAGTGAAGGGAAATGGTAAGCCGGTCAAGGCTCGAAAAATTCTACTAGTTAAAAAAATAAAAAAAGAAATTGGAGAAGAAAGTGCAATAAAGAAAGAAGATAGACAGAACAATGTACTCAGGAAAGAGAATGGACAGTCTAATGTTTTAAAGAAAGGAAATGGACAAACTAGAATAAAAAAGAAAGAGAATGGGCAGACTAGTGTAAAAAGAAAAGAAAAAAATGGGCAGACTAGTTTAAAAATAAAAAGAAAAGAGAGTGGGCAGACTAGTGTAAAAAGAAAAGAGAGCGGACAAACAGTTGTAATAAGCACAGACAGTGGACAAAGTGATGTAATAAATAGTGAGAGTGGACAAACTAAAGTAATAAGTGAAGGGAATTTACAGACTAGTGTTATTCAGGGTGGGAATGAACAGACGAGTGCAAGTACAAAGGATGAGAAATCCAATCCTATCATTAAACTTGATAACATGGATATACCAAAAAGTGATGTTTCTGACATGGCTGAAAATAATTCTGCCACTTCAGAGGTTAACCGGAAAGATGAGAAAGAGCAGAGGTCTACTGGGGAGACTTCTAAGAAATCACTTAATGATGTCAAGGTCAACAAATCTTTGGAAAAGAGAGATGCTGTTTCTGAACTCAGGTCAAAAGTCATTCATGTCAAGAGTCCTATGGGAGTCCGACAAGTTGTCGTTTTAAACTCGGCTAAAGCTGGAATGTACAGAGAGACGTTAGTGAAAGTTATACCACCGAAAGATCCACCTCGAGAAGAGGAGAAAATATCACCTGCAAAACAAAGAATGTTGGCAAAGAAGGAACTACATTTGCAGAAGAAAAAAATTGACCCACAAAAAAGTGAGATTGCTAGCTTTGGAGTGATTAATGATCATAAGATTAAAGATTCATTCAAATCAGAAGTGCACAGACAAGCTCATATGCAAAAGAAAGCAGACAGGATAGATAGTCATAAAAGTGGAGATCCATTGAAGCCATCTGAGGAAGCTTTCTTGTCCAAGAAAAAGGAAGAAGCCCTTAGAAGAAAAGAAGAAATACAACAGAAGAGAGATGAGATCTTAAGAAAACGGGAAGCTATAAAGAAAAGGAAAGATATTCAAAGAAAAGAAAATACTCAGCAAAAGAATATTGAAGCAGTTGATAGGAAATTGGATAATAATATTCCCAGGCAAGAAAGAACTCTACCTAATAATGAAGCCATAACAAAGGATGGAGAAATTAAAAAACATAGACCAATAGCCAACATTCCTCGTAAAATCATACAAGTTGTGCACAAAATAAACTCTCCAGTGCCCAAGTTGCCCGCAGAGGACTCGCCAGTTAGACGGAGCAACCGAGCTATAAAGAAAAAAACCTTCGGGGATGAAATGTTAACATTTGACCTGAAGGCCGATCTTGTTGCTTGTGCAGAAGAGGAACAAGAGCCAGAAGAGGAGTTCGAGAGTGAAGGAGATGAAGTAAGATGTTTTAAATTATAGTATTATCTTCTTAAAAGGTTATCTAATTATATATATATATACACAGTGTGTACTCACCTAGTTGTGCTTGCGGGGGTTGAGCTCCGGCTCTTTGGTCCCGCCTCTCAACCGTCAATCAACAGGTGTACAGGTTCCTGAGCTTATTGGGCTCTATCATATCTACACTTGAAACTGTGTATGGAGTCAGCCTCCACCACATCACTTCCTAATGCATTCCATTTGTCAACCACTCTGACACTAAAAAAGTTCTTTCTAATATCTCTGTGGCTCATTTGGGCACTCAGTTTCCACCTGTGTCCCCTAGTGCGTGTGCCCCTTGTGTTAAAGAGCCTGTCTTTATCAACCCTGTCGATTCCCTTGAGAATCTTGAATGTGGTGATCATGTCCCCCCTAACTCTTCTGTCTTCCAGCGAAGTGAGGTTCAATTCTCGTAATCTCTCCTCGTAGCTCATACCTCTCAGCTCGGGTACTAGTCTGGTGGCAAACCTTTGAACCTTTTCCATTTTAGTCTTATGCTTGACTAGATATGGACTCCATGCTGGAGCCGCATACTCTAGGATTAGTCTGACATATGTGGTATATAATGTTCTGAAAGATTCCTTACACAAGTTTCTAAAGGCCATTCTTATGTTAGCCAACCTGGCATATGCTGCTGATGTTATCCTCTTGATATGAGCTTCAGGGGACAGGTCTGGCGTGATATCAACCCCCAGGTCTTTCTCTCTCTGACTCTTGAAGTATTTCATCTCCCAAGTGATACCTTGTATCTGGTCTCCTGCTTCCTACCCCTATCTTCATTACATTACATTTGCTTGGGTTAAACTCTAACATCCATTTGTTCGACCATTCCTGCAGCTTGTCCAAGTCTTCTTGAAGCCTCAAGCTGTCCTCCTCTGTCTTAATCCTTCTCATAATTTTGGCGTCGTCAGCAAACATTGAGAGGAATGAGTCTATACCCTCTGGGAGATCATTTATGTATATCAGAAACAGGATAGGTCCAAGCACAGAGCCCTGTGGGACTCCACTGGTGACTTCATGCCATTCTGAGGTCTCACCCCTCACTATAACTCTCTGCTTCCTATTGCTTAGGTACTCCCTTATCCACTGGAGCGCCCTACCAGTTACTCCTGCCTGTTTCTCCAGCTTATGCATCAACCTTTTATGGGGTACTGTGTCAAAGGCTTTCCGACAGTCCAAAAAAATGCAGTCCGCCCGTCCTTCTCTTTCTTGCTTAATCTTTGTCATCTGATCATAGAATTCTATCAAGCTTGTAAGATAAGATTTACCCTCCCTGAACCCATGTTGATGGGTTGTCACGAAGTCTTTTCTCTCCAGATGTGTTACTAGGTTTTTTCTCACAATCTTCTCCATCACCTTGCATGGTATACAAGTTACGGACACTGGCCTGTAGTTCAGTGCCTCATGTCTGTCACCCTTTTTAAATATTGGTACTACATTAGCAGTCTTCCATACTTCTGGTAGGTCTCCCGTTTCCAGTGACCTACTATACACTATGGAGAGTGGCAAGCAAAGTGCTCCTGCACACTCTTTCAATACCCATGGTGAGATTCCATCCGGCCCAACAGCTTTTCTCACATCCAGCTCCAATAGGTGCTTCTTGACCTCATCTCTTGTAATTTCGAACCTTTCCAAGGTCACCTGGTTTGCTACCACCTCTCCTAGCGCCGTGACTTCTCCCTGTTCTATTGTAAAGACCTCCTGGAACCTTTTGTTGAGTTCTTCACACACCTCTTTGTCATTCTCTGTGTACCTGTCCTCGCCCACCCTAAGTTTCATCACCTGTTCCTTCACTGTTGTCTTCCTCCTGATGTGACTGTGTAGTAGCTTGGGTTCGGTCTTGGCTTTATTAGCTATATCATTTTCATACCTTTTCTCAGCTGCTCTTCTCACACTAACATACTCGTTCCTGGTTCTCTGGTATCTCTCTCTACTTTCTGGTGTTCTGTTATTACGGAAGTTCCTCCATGCCCTTTTGTTCAGCTCCTTTGCTTTCATACATTCCCTATTAAACCACGTATTCTTCCTTTGCTTTTCTGTTTTTTCCTGTTGGGCTGGGACAAACCTGCTTACAGCCCCTGACATTTTTGGGTGACATAGTCCATCATGTCTTGTACGGACTTGGTTCCGAGTTCTGTGTCCTAATGTATATCCCATAGGAATTTATTCATCTCCTCATAGTTTCCCTTTCGGTACGCCAGCCCTTTGTTTCCCAGTTCTTTTTTGGGGGTGATAATTCCTAGCTCAACCAGGTACTCAAAGCTCAATACACTATGATCACTCATTCCCAAGGGGGCTTCCAACTTAACTTCCCTTATATCCGACTCGTTTACGGTAAATATCAGATCAAGCAAGGCTGGTTCATCCCCTCCTCTCGTTCTTGTCGGTCCCTTAACGTGTTGACTTAGAAAGTTTCTTGTTGCCACATCCAGCAGCTAGCTCTCCATGTGTCTGGGCCTCCATGTGGGTCTCTGTTCCCCCAATCTATCTTTCCATGGGTGAAGTCTCCCATGATTAGTAGCCTGGATCCGTTCCTGCTAGCCACAGAAGCTGCTCTCTCTATTATATTGATGGTGGCCAAGTTGTTTCTATCATATTCCTGTCTGGGTCTTCTGACATTCGGTGGGGGGTTATATATGACTACTACTATAATTTTCTGTCCTCCAGTTGCTATGGTACCTGATATGTAGTCACTGAAACCTTCACAGTTCTGAATTACCATCTCTTCGAAACTCCAACCTTCTCTTAGTAGCAAAGCTACACCACCACCTCCTCTCCCTTCTCTCTCTTTCCTCACTACATAGTAGCCCTGTGGAAACACTGCGTTTGTTATGGTGTTTGTTAGCTTTGTTTATGTGAGTGCTATTATGTCTGGGTTTTCTTCTAGTGCCCATTCTAGAGTTCACTTGTTTTATTTGTAATTCCATCTATGTTAGTGTACATTGTCTTGAAGCTCACTTTCTTCAGTTCATTTTCTTGTCCCTTTCTTGGCGAGCATTCTGCTGGTGTGGGAAGCTTTTCAGTGGGTGAGATGATCTGTGAGGTGGTTTGCAGGGTCTCAGAGGAGTTTGGGGTGAAGGGTGGGGGTTTCAGGGAAGGGGGGACAGGGTGTGGGTTAAGGAGATAGGGGGGACATGGAGGATATGGGGTGAGGGGGGGGGAGGAGGGATAGGGAGGGTATGGGATGAAGGGGGAGGGGGGATGGGGAGGAAAGGTGGGAGGGGGGACATGAACACCACCTTTACAAGTCGGTTTCTGTCCTTGTTGTACGAGCCCAACCTGAAAACCTTCTCAATGTTTCGTTCAGCCCCTTCCATCTGTAACCCCTTCAGTAGCCCCTGTACTGCCTCTCTATCCTTGCTATTCCATTCTTGCCTGTTGGATCCTTCCTGTTCTTTGATGCCTACAACTACCACTGATCTTTTTCTCTCCAGCAGCTGAGTGGTGCACCTTGCTGCTTCCTGTGAGGTGGCTGCTTGCATCGCTACCTCCCTCACTGTGTCCATAGCTTCTGAGCTCTTTTTCAGTATGTCTGCAAATGTTTCAGGTACAGAGGCATTTCCTTCCAATGTAACATTCCCACCTTCCCTTTGGATGATAATCTGATGCTCGGTCTCTTTATTTTTTTCTGTGAGGGATTTGATCTCCTCCCTTGCTGATGTCAGCTCACTTTGCAGGTTGTTAATTGTAATCCTCATTTCCTGCATCTCCTTCTTGAATTCCTCCAGAACTTGGGTTGACATGTCCCTCGTTTGGTCACGTTGGCTGTTCCCTGTGTCCCTGTTGCGTCCACCTGCCATTTTGCCCTTGTCAAGAGAGAGAGCAAGAATAGTCCTAGTGTGAGTGGGTGTGGTGGGGGGGGGGAGTGTTTTGGGAGAGTGGGAGTGGCGGGGGTGGGGGGGGAGTGTGTTGGGAGAGTGAGATGAGGGGGTTAAGAGGTGGGTGAGGTGTAGTCTTCAGATTACGGCGGGTGGGGGGAGGGGGATTAGCGGCTTATCTGGGTTCCCAGTGAGCTCACAGTTGCTGTCCCTGTTACCTGTCTACCACGATTGTATTATTGAATGGAATGCAATAGTGTCTATGATATGATATTATATAAACCTTGCACACTGTTGGAGACTTATAAGAGACACTTACCAGCCAACCCCCCACAAGCACTATAGGTGAAGCGCGCGCGCACACACACACCAGCTGTGTGTGTGTGTGTGTATGTATAATGTATGTATGTATAAAGTAGTAAGTTATATGAAACCACTATGTCATGTATAAATTCTAACATTTATCCAGAAATCAAATCTTTTCAAGGGCACTATATTCAACCCATTTACATGCTATCCCATTTAACAAATTTATAGCAATTTTGGTCATGTGTAGGTTATACCGTTCTCATCTTGTGTAGTTAGAATTGTATGTATTTCTACAATTTCTCATATAATACAGTAATCCTTGCCCTTTAAAAAAAATTTGTACATGACTATGTTACAACCCATCCTCTTGTTTAGATAGTACTTTTTCTAACTAGGGGCACCATAGTACAAATGTTGATGTACTAAGTAAATATATAGTAGAATTTTGTACTAGTCACTTTATAGTCGGAAATAAGTGACACTAAAAACTAATTTCAATATTCGTAGCCTAGTATAGCACACACATGTACTATCCCATTCACCTGGGCTCTTGGAGACTGGTACTGTGGACTCCGTATATATTAACGGTCCACGATTCAAGTCTGCTAGAGCCCAGGTGACAGGGATGTTTATTTCCATGGAAGTGAGGATGGCAATTTATATGTACTGTACTATATTTGTCATCAATGTGTATTAACCCTAGGAAGGTTAGGTTAGTTTAGTTTGTCTTTGCAACGTAAGTAGAAGATCGTTTTCCAGTTTGTCCGAATTCAATAGTACCGTATTCTACTTTCTAATTGCATTGTACATCGGTATATGTACTATTGTCCTCATCCTTCATATAGGTTCTATCAAAACAGGAGGATGTTCTATTGCACATTTCATATTTTTTTTTTTAGCCATATTAATGTTTCAAATTTGCCAATTATGTTTAGACTTGAGAATTTTTTTCCTCTTTTTAATATTGTACATTATTGTTTATATTTTTGTGATAGTTATTGTGCTTCATCATCACTGTACCAGGCAGAATGAAAGAAAAATTTGTGTTGATTTGTGTCAGTAACACATTTGTCCATGAATATTGGACTTGTAATTGCTGGGCTGTTTTTTTAATTGAGGTTTGCTTAACAGTGTATGGTCAAATTTCTGCATTAAGTTTTTGTGTCATTGGCAATTGCATCTTTTTATTTATTTTCAGAATTGATACAAAAGTCAACAAGTTTTGTATTTGCATTATTCAAATTTATTCAGTCTACTTAGTTTGGTACAGTAAATGTATAGTAGGCAAGGAATTTTAGGATAGTATTTTTGTGAATTGTTAGTCTAAATACTTTCACACGACGATGAGCAGTAACAACAGAAGAACTCTGTGGTTGGATTAAAGATCAAACACAATAATAGTGTTGTAAAGGGGCACACAAAAGTGTGTTAAAGATGATAAAGGCATGGGGTGCAAAATGAGATGAGGTGGATATGCCTTTCTTATGCAGATGATGAGTCACAATAACATGGCTGAAGATATGATGACCAATCCACACACAAGAAGATGAAGAAACAATGACATTTCAGTCCATCCTGGACCAGTATCACGTCGTATGTGGTGGGAGAGTGTGTGATGAAAGTTAAGCCACCCAAAAAGTGGCACGGGCATGAATAGCCTGTAAGTGGTAGATAATGAGAGAGTGATTGATTGATGAAGATTAAGCCACCCAAGAGGTGGCACAGGTATGAATACCCCGTAAGTGGTAGATTTTTTGTTTGCCAAATGTATATTGTATGTGTGTGTGTTGAGGTCGCATTTAATCATCAGGCTGTTACCGCATAGGAGGATGCTACTTGACAGTGTTTATGAGGTGTCCAGTTCCAAAGCATCTGAGGGTTTCAGGGTCGGGGCAGGGTTTACTTGGTGATAAGACTCGGGCAGTTTCGGGGGATGCCTCTTCCATTGTGGAGGAACACATTGTAGCCTGTTCCTCCAGCCCGTGCTTCTGGGTCTGACCAGTGCACCCCCCTTCTTTCCAGCTTTTTCGGTGGACTCTGCCTTTTCTTTGGGGCAGAGGGTTTGGAAGACGGCTCAGCCCCGGGTCCTGATGTGGAGGTTCCCGGGACGGGGGAGGGGCTGACTTGGGGGGGCTTGTGCTCCATTTGACCCCTGAGTCAAATGGCGACCCTTGAGTCCCCTCTCGCTTCGTGCGAGGTTGATGGTTGTTCTGTCCCCTTGTCTCAGGGTGCCAATTGCCAGTTGTGCCTCCGCCATGCTGCCTCTAGGGTCGGTGATTCTTTTGACCCGGAGTCGTGCGATGTTTGTTGTTCATTGGCCAGTTCACCCAAGCTACTGATCATGATATGAGGGTGCAGGCAGCAGCTGAGTTGCATGCTAGGTTCAGGTTGCTGCAACGCGATAGGTTGGTTTCTTCCCCGGATGCCCCGAGACTGCCCTGTTTTGGTTTTAGGGACCCAGACTCTGGGGTGGAAGTCGCTTCAACTTTGGTTCCGTCTTCTTCACCTTGTCCTTTTCCTTCTGTTATGTGTCCAGTTCCTCGCCCTTTCCTTCCGGCTCTGAAACGTCTGAGGGTTTCAGAGTCAAGGCAGGGTTTAGTTGGTGTTGAGACTCGGGCGGTCTCGGGGAAGTCCCCTACCTGGGTGATGGTGAAGGCATTCGAGCCTGGTCCTCCAGCCAGAGGAGCTGGGTCCCGGGTCGTGGTGCTCGGTCCAGAGCTTCTGTGTGTGACCAGTGGGCCTCCTTCATTCCTGCTTTTTGGCGGCTCCTGCCGTTTCTTTAGAGGTGGGGGGTTTGGAGGACGGCTCGGCCCCCGGGAAGGGGTTAACTTGGGGGCCTTGGGCCCCGTTGAACCCTGCCTAGATTTTAGTACCCTCGGAGTGGGGCTTGGTGTTGTTGCAAGGAGTGTGGTTCTCTTTCGCTCCCTCCTTGTACGAATTGGATTTGGCGTCTACCCCTTCCTGGGTTGGGTTCTGTGACCCCAGTGGTTCTTCAGTTCCGTCCTTCCAGAGGTTTTCGACTTCCTGCATCCCGTCCCATGTGGTGTTGGAAGCCCTTGCGGCTTACCTTCTGTGCGGCCCGGGTTATGCTTTTGTGATGGATCCGCGTTCCTTCTTGTATGGATCTTCTTGTCCTTACTGGGTTTGTTATGAAGTTTTGGAGTCGTGCTGGTTTGCAGACTGCCCTCTCTTCTCTTTGGAGGCATGGCATACGTTCTGTCAATCCAGCGCACTTGAGTGGCTGGAGGCTCAGACAGCGTTGCAGGTTTTCCTGGGGACGAATTTGAGCATCTCGATACGTGCTTGTTCACCTCTGCCCTTCCAGGAGATGTTGGTGTGATGCAGCGTCATGTGCAGGTACCTTCCCTATCAGCTGCATTGGTCGCTGAGGATTTGCAGACGCTTATGCCTGCTGACTTCGTCCCTGCGTTTCTTCTCCCTCCTTGAGCTGTCCTCGGACTGGCTTGGGGCTGCCTCTGGGTCTTGTGCATTGCCCTCGGCAATGCGTGTGTCGTCCACATTGTTGAAGCTGTTTGCACCGCTCCTGTGGCATAGGGTTTTGTAGTTTTTTTTGCTTCTCAACTCGCGTGTCAGCAGGTGGTGCTCGCTTCTTCCTTGGAATTCGCTTGGACCCTGGCTCTTAGACTGTCTTTGCCTTTATCCGTTGCTGTTTGCGGAGTCTGCATTACGGCAGGCAGCTTCGACTAGTTGCCATCCTATGTCGGATTTGTTGATCCTCTCGGAGGCTCGTGGGGGGGATCCTTTCCGACAGAGTCGTGCCTGGGCTCGGTGTTCTTCCTGTCGTGGTAGGCCAGTGGTGTCAGATTTGACGCCGGCGTAGCCTTTGGTGCTGTCTGTTCTGTTCAGCATGGAGGATCGCCCTGTACACCGTTTTGGTGCTTGTAAGGTATGTCGGCCCTATTGCGGTTTGTTCCATTGACGGGACGGTGGGGGGGGGGGGAGAGAGGGGTAGAGAGAGAGGGGTAGAGAGAGAGGGGTAGAGAGAGAGGGGTAGAGAGAGAGAGGTAGAGAGAGAGAGGTAGAGAGAGAGAGGTAGAGAGAGAGAGGTAGAGAGAGAGAGGTAGAGAGAGAGAGGTAGAGAGAGAGAGGTAGAGAGAGAGAGAGGTAGAGAGAGAGAGGTAGAGAGAGAGAGGTAGAGAGGGAGGGGGGGAGAGGTAGAGAGAGAGAGAGCGAGCGAGCTTCAGATGAACTGAGGTAGGATAACAGCTCTTGCTTGCAGTTTCACTTGGTACGTCATTAGACATCCCTTATGAATCTTAGTCTTAATTTATAAGAAAAAAGAGAGGGGGAGGAATTGGGGGAGGGGGAGAAAGTGGTGGAATCCAAAACTGTCAGTAATTTCAAAGTGTTGTATGACAAAGAGTGCTGGGAAGATAGGACACCACAAGGGTAGCTCTCATCCTGTAGGAACACTTATGTAATCACAGCCTGGTTGACCAGATATATTTTGGAGGTGTTTATTGAGTTCTCTATTGAACGCTGTGAGGAGTCTGCCAGTTACGCCCCTTATGTGTAGTGAAAGCGTGTTGAACAGTCTCGGGCCTCTGATGTTGATAGTTCTCTCTGAGTACCTATTGCATCTCTACATAATTTGTAAGTTGTGTGTGGTCTATTTTCTCCGATTTTCTACACTTGTACAAACTCTTCATGATGGTAGAATAATAGTTGGATATGAGATGACCCATTCAATACCAGGAAGCTCTGGCTTGACAAGGTCTTTATTACAAAATGTGTGTCCATACAGAACCCCTGTGCCAGAGCCTGACTGACCAAGGACTCATTCTTTAGAACCATGCCAATGATTGTGTCTGAGACTATTTTATTACACAGGATGAAGACTCGCTGGAGGATTATGGTGAAGACGATGACCCTGAACGGCTGTGGTGTGTGTGCCAGAAGCCTCACAACAATCGCTTCATGATTTGCTGTGACAAGTGTGAGGATTGGTTCCATGGGTCCTGTGTTGGTGTTACCAAGGCAATAGGTTAGTACTGTGTTCATTGTATGTTATTGTTTTGTCATGTTTCTTGTTTTTATTTTCAGTGTGACAATTCTTTACCTTGAGATTGTGCTCATTTTTCAACTGGTTTGTATTGGGTTTATTGAAATTGAATATATTGAGACATGCTGAACAACATGTCCATGTACAACATCTTCAGAACCACAGGCAACATGGGTTCAGAACATGTTGCTCCTGCCTCTCAAAATTGCTAGATCACTATGACATGGCTTTAGGTGCCATGGAAGACAAGCAAATGCAGATATAATATACACAGACTTTGCGAAAGCTTTCAGCAAAAGCAATGCCTCAGGGTCAGCTGGGGTTTCGTGGCCCTTGTTTGGCCTTGGGTAGGGAGTGGTATTGTGCTGGTTGGGGCGTCAAGGTGTTGTGCAGCTTGCCTACCTACCTAGTGGCCGGTTACTTTTTCCTTCCTCTGGAGACACTGTACTTTTGCGTGGGTTTTCTTTTGTTTTTCTTTTTCATGCCTGGTTGGGGTCTGCCTGTTGTGGATATAGTTCCACTTCTAAAAATTTGGTGGACCTTTGCTAGGCCTCCATGATTGTACACATCACAGGGGTTTCAGTGTTTTGATTTTCCCCTTGTTAGTTTTGGGTCTTAACCAGTTAGCAACACCTTGACAGGGCTTCCTGTAGCAGTCAGCCTATGGGCTCTGGTAAACCCTATTGGGGCTCAGTGGACCTATGGATGCGTCTTCCGTGTTCCAGCCCGCCTCGTGTGGGTTCGAAGGTTGCTGTGTGCCCTTGTCTCAGGCTGACAGTCACCTCTTTTGCCTCTGTCATGCTGTCTGTAGAGTCAAAGACACCTTTGACCCAGAGTCTTGCGAGTCGTGTTTTCTGCTTGTTCTCCATACTATTCTGTTGACATTACTGTTAAGGTAGAGGCAGCATCTGCATTGCATGCTAGGTTCAGGTTGCTGCAGCATGCTATGTTGGTTTCCCATCCAGCTGCCCCGCTTTGGTTATAGAGACCTGGACCTGAGGCATTAGTTGCTTCGACTTTAGTTCAGTCCGTTCTCCCTGGTCCTTCCCCTGTTGTTCACACTGCTCCCCCCCCCCCCCTCACATTCCCCCCGTTTTCGGCTCCCAAACGTCTAAGGGTTTCGGAGTCGGGGCAGGATTTAGTTGGTACTGAGACTTGGACCGCTTCTGGGGCTGCCCCATTCAGGTTGGGCATGGAGGCATTCGAGCTGGTTCATCCTAACGAGTCCCACCAGTAGGCCCCCTTCTCTTCAGCCTTTTTGCCTGGACTCTGCCTTTTCTTCAGGGATAGAGAGTATGGAGGACTGCTCTGCCCCAGGTCCCGACTTGGGGGGGATACCGGGCTGGGGAGGAGTCAACCTGGGAGCCTTGGGTCCCCTTTGACCCCACTTGAGTGTTGGTGCCTTCTTTGCAGGGCTGCTTGTTGTAGGGGAATTGATTTTCTTAACCCCCCTTACCTGTATAAGTATGATTTGGGGTCAGCTCCTCCCCAGGTTTGGTTCTGGGCTTCCTTGAGCTCCTTGGCCCTGTCCATCTGGAGGTTTTCTGCCTCTCGTATCTCCCCTAGGAAGGTTCGGGAGGCTCTTGCTGCGTACCTCCTGCAAGGCCCTGATTCCACCTCTGTGGAATCTGCCCTTATTTGAGTTTGGTTCTTCTTCCCTGTTTTGGGTGCATTTGGAGGTTCCGGAGTCTTCCTGGCTGGCAGACTGCTCATTGTTTTTGTTGGGGGTATAGCATGGGTTCTGTCAGACCCACACGCTTGAGTGGCGAGAAACTTCTGCCATTCTGAAGGTTTACCTGAGGGGGGGGGGGGGGGTTGAGCGCCTTAATGCTTGCTTGTTTGCCCCTGTGCTTTCTCAGAATGTTGACCTTGTACAGCTGCATGTGCAGGTTCCTACCCTTTCGACATCCTTGGTTGCTGAGGATTTGCGCACTTGTGGGCATTTGGCTTCAGTCTTGTGCTTTTTCCCCTCTCAAGCTGTCTTCGGCCTGGCTTGAGAAGGATGTGGAGGTGTTGAGTGCCAGACCTTCGTCTGGTGTGCTGTCTTCAGTGGCTCAGGCGTTGGCTGCACTGTTAAAGCTGAATGTGCTGATCCTGAAGGAAGCAGTGTCTCCATTTTTTGCTTCTCACCTCGCATGTTGTCGGGCTGTGCTCGCTCTCTTTGGAATCCACTTAGGCAATGATTTCTTAGGTTTTCATTGCCATTTTGTCTATTGCTGTTTGCATAGTCTGCTGTCATGCAGTTGTCGTCCTAGGTTGGACTTGTTGGCTCTCTGGGGCGGCCGTTCTTGGTCTTCTCGGAAGGGTCGTGCCAGGACTCGGGGTTCTGCTGGTCGTGATGGGCAATTGATGCCAGCTTCTTACCCGACGTTACCTTCAAAGCCGGTGTTGTCTGGTCGGCGTGATGATCGCTGTTTGGTGGTCTGCTTCTCGAAAAGGGTGTAAGGGGGAGCCTCCCTCCCCCCCCCATCGCCCTGTTGACGGGGGCATAAGGGGGAGCCTCCCTCCCATTGCCCCATTCATGGGGCAATGGGGATGAGGCTCGCTATGTTTGCTCACACTTGGTCCCACGATTCATGGGAGTTTTCGGTTGTGTCATCCGGCTTGTGGTAATGTTGGGCAGCTCCTTCCCCTTCAGGGGCTTCAGGGCTCTCAGGTCATCTCAGAATGGGTGCTCTTGGGCGTGGTCGAAACAACCCCGTCCCTCAGGTGGATTTCCTGCCTGTTTCCAGTGCCAAAATGTGACTGTGCAGCTCTAGAGGTTTATTCTGGACTTGTTCCGTCTGATCCCTCTGGATTCCTTGCCATCCTTTTGGATGACCAATGTCTCAGGTTCGGCTTTTGGACCCGGGTGCCTGGATGGTGTACCTGGACCTCAAGGTCCAGGTCACTTGGAGGTTGCTTGAACAGCTGTGCGGGATTTTGAACTTTGTTGTGCTGGTCTACCCGCTGGGTCGGGTAAGGCTTCGGCATCTGTTCTGGTTCCTTCGCGAACACCTCTTCCGCTGGGTTCTACCTCCGAGGGGCCTTGTGTCGGTTGCTGCGTCACCGGCTTCCTCTTTGTGGTTTTCGGGGGTTCAGTGCCTTGGCACATTCCCTATTCCTCGCTCGATGTGTTCATGGATGCTTTGTCTCTCGACTGGGGCTTTGTGACCAGTGTTGACCAGACCACACACTAGAAGGTGAAGGGACGGCAACGTTTCAGTCCGTCCTGGACCATTCTCAAGTCGATTGTAACACAATCGACTTGAGAATGGTCCAGGACAGACCGAAACATTGTCGTCCCTTCACCTTCTAGTGTGTGGTCTGGTCAACATACTTTAGCCACGTTATTGTGACTCATCGCCTGCATGTGTGACCAGTGCTCACCAGGCCAGCTAGGGGCGATGGGGTCCACAGCCCGTCCTCCAAACAAAGACCCAAAAGTAATTCCATGCACCAGCCAGACCCCCTATTTATGAATGAAAAACGGTTTATGCACGACTCACAACTGATTTCATTCGAACACTTCCGTAACAAATGCTTCACTGACGAATTTTGTTCGAGCCACATCACTATAAATGCTTCACCCACGTACTACTGTGATGGGTTGTGGTATCACAGCTATACTAAACCAAGATGGTATGGCTCTCCCTCACACAAATAAAAAAAAAAAATGCTGCTATTGGCCTTGCAGTGTGTAAGTCGCAGGTGGAAACAAATGAAAATCATCAAATAAATAATTAAACAATTTACTGAAATAGTAATGAACATAAATGCCCCTGAAAATACTTGTAATGCAAAGGTGAAAAAGTTAATATGACTTTAATTAAAAAATAAACTACAGTATAAGCAATGAATAAAAGCATAAAGATATACTGGTGTACTGAAGACAGCTACCATACCACCATGGCATCAATCACATGACGTTGGCTGGAGGCAGACGACGGGTGAGAGACACAAAGGTGATCCTAGAGCACTAAGGGAGAGACTGGCTCTCCAGGGAGGCAGCGCCCTTTTTATAGTCCGGCGGTGATGACTCATCCAGTGTCAACGCAAGGTGGACATCTGGTCAACTAACAAACTGCTCGTTGTGGCTGGCGGTGCCTTTGTGTTGAGCTGCACCACTGCCAGTTCAAGGCGGCTAACTGCTTGTTTGTGGGGGCAAACTGCCGGTTAGCAGTGGCGCCCGGCTTGCCTCCGAGTCATACCAGGCCATGCCAGGCCCTGGGGGGAATGGAGAGGTGGCAGGACTGATGACTCATCTGGGCTGGTGTATATGTAGACTTCCAGTGCAGAGGTATTGAAGGTGAAGGGAAAAGATAGTTCCACTGCTATGCAGGGGATTCACATGGCACTACAATACAAATAATCTCCATCAGAACATTAACACCTAACCTAACCTATGCCTAAATATGCACAATATGCTAATACTGTATATTACAATATTAATTTATATTTGAGAAAATTCCTGTTTTAAATAAACACCATGTAAAAATTTACAAATGCCTCTGTGGGGTCGACCGCTGCATGTAATGGACTAGAGTCGAGGATGGGTTGGGGCTCCGTCCTTTAGTCGGTCTCGCAGCACGGCGCGGGAGTTCGTGGTGGTTTGGCTGTTGCTTCGGAGGGTTCAGGTCGCTCGGGGTTCAATTATCTGGCTCCAGACTGTCCTCCAGTGGTTCTTTGCCTCTTTGGGACTGGTCGCTTTGAGTGGCTTGTTTGCTGGCTTCTTGTGGTTTGGCTCTCCGTGTGGTTCATATCCGGGAAGATTCCAATGTCCCGGCGGATGGCCTGTCTCGGTTCATTCCCCTGTCCAAGGAATGGACGGTCAATGCTAACTCCTAACGTTGGCTCTGCTGACCGTACGGACTCTCGGACATGGACCTCTTTGCACCGGCATGGTCGAAGAGTACATAGATCGGGAGTCCGTCTCCCGATCAATGTATTCACCTAGTTGTGCTTGCGGGGGGGGGGTTGAGGTCCGCTTTTTCGGCCCACCT